GGTTTGAGGGTCCATCTCAGCTCCCTGTAGCTGATTTAAAGCTGATGACTGTTTATTCAGTCCCTCCAGGCAAATCTCTCCTTTGCCTGAGCTATCTAAGGTCCCACGAGGCGAACACGACCTATGGCACCTGTTAATGCCCTCTCTCCTGTTGGGCTTGACAACCTTTCACTGAGCACTCTCTTCTGGTGTCCCCATCCATCCAACTACTGGGTCAACACACAAGTACTCCGCCATCTGGCATTACTTATCTTGTTCCGGGCTTAGGTTGGTCATGCACTCGGGGTTGCAGTATCCCAGCGTCCCACAAGGGTTTGGCTGGCTGGGTCTCTGTTGCAGCAGAGTCCTCTTCCCAGTCCTGCCATACAATCCTTTTTCCCCTGAATGCTGAATGCCAAACCTCTTTTGGTGTTCTCCTTTTAAACTTCCTGGGATTCCTCTGAGCCATCAGCACCAGCTCCTGAGGCACATCTTCCCTAGACCCGGTGTGTTGCACCAGTTCCCCCCTCCCTCCCCCAGAGCTCCTTTTAGCACACTGAGGAAGTGCAACCCATCCCGACCCTGCTGGGTCGGTTTCCCTCCCCCCCCACCATTCTTTCCTGCTGTGTCAGGCAACATAGCTTCTCTGACCCTGCCGGGTAAGTTCCCTTTCTGGAGTTTGTTCCTGTGTAAGGAAATCTTACCAGGAGAAGGGGAGAGGTGGTGGGCCATAGTGCTAGCAGCTGTTTATGGCAAAAGTGAAACTGCAGCAGCTCCAAAGGTCAAAGAAAAAACCCATGGCATTGCTGGGAGGAGCCGGGAATGGCTCCCACGTCTGCCTGGGCACACTTTATAAAAGTGTACCGAGGGCGATTGGCTGGGTGGGCAGACGGAGCCGGCAGAAAAGGCTCACCTAGAAGGGAGCTGGAGGGGCCAGAAAGAGCATCCCTGGCTGGCCCAGAAGGGTCAGAGCAGCCAGATGGCGTGGAGCAGGAGGAGGCTTGGTGGCTCCCTCAGGAAGGGAGCGTGGAAGGAATACCAGGCCAGCGTGAGCCCAAGGAGCCACTGGCAACCCATCGTGGTCCAGAGCCGGTAGCCCCAGCAACTGGGATGGTGACAGATGCAGCAAGGACAGGACCCTGAACCGAACAACCAGCAGCACGTACCAAACTCAGGGAATCAGCGATGCGTCAAGGGAGGCAGCAGTCCAGGTAGAATCTGGCTTCGCATAGACCACAGAGCAGAGAGGGGACGCGGAGAGCACTTGGCACTAGCTACACCGGTGGTCAACAACCACACCCCAAGGGACCGAGTGCTGGGGAGGGCCCGAACATTGGCCTTGACAAGCAACATCACGGTTGGCGTTAGGCGGGGTGTAGGGGAGATGGAGCCCCAAGACGAGGCAGTCACAAGGAAGGCTAATTCTTTCTCCAGCTTCCCCAAAAGTTTTACACACAGGATCAAACATTTTAAAATACTTAAAAATACAGACTCTAACACACCCTACTGAACACAACTTTTAAAACTAAGTAACCATGGTCATAAAAGAACATTCAAGTTTGCATATATACATTTGAACTGAATTACAACACACATTGTGCTTTCTTATCCCATCTTAGAATGATAAATGGCATAAATTACGTTTCCTTGGGCAACTTTATCCTGACAGGTATCAGAGTAATTCACAAGCTTAAAATTACCCACAAGGATCTTTCCATTCACAGCCTAATAAAAAACAGCAATGTTACACAGAAGTGAAGATAGGATCATAATTAAGATAATCTATATACAACCTAAGAAAAGAATAAGTTCACCTCAATTTTCAAGGAAAACAATGTTTAATATGGCAATGTGAATGTAGTTGGCTGAAATGTGAATATAAAAATGGAAAATTACAATATTCAAGGGTGAAAAAAATTTAAAAAAATTCAACATGCTCAACTTATCAGGACCAGATCATTCCTATCCCAGAACTAGGAAAAAACTGGTATGTGAAATCAAACATCATGCCTGTCACGGCGTGGCAACTAGAAGTGGCCGTGATCCAGCTAGCGCCCCCTGCCGTGCCAATTAGGAGATCCAGCACCTTCTTATTCTCACCCGCCACGTCTTTGATCTTATATAATTTAATATGGGAGGCTGCCTTTGATCTCCTAGTATCTATGGGTGACTTGGTGCACCCCCCCAGCCTTATGGGCTATGCGTGCCTCCTACCTCCCCTTTAGTACACCCCAAGCCTCGCAGCTATTCCGGACGTTCTTATGTCAATAAGACCTCGGATGATCCCTCGCCCTCTCCGGGCTCGTCCTGCCCTCTCTGGGCCCTGTTTCGCACACCCTTCCCTCTCCGGGCTCGTACCCACGCGATTGCCCTTCTTCGGACTATCAATGGCGCCAGCCCTGTCCTGGGCCTTCACTGGCACACGCGCCCTACTTCAGCTTCACGCTGGCCCCTGCCCGTCTCGAGGCTCCCTGGTGTACTTGCCCTTCTATGGGCGTTACCCGCGCTTCCCGCACTCGCGTTGCCCTGCTGTGGGCTCCGTCCCGCCCCCTGGCGCTCGTGGCTCTCACTGAGCCTATCCCGCGCTACTCGCGCCCGTGGCTCTCCCTGAGCCTGCACGCCAGCCCTGTCTCACACACCCTGCCCTCTCCAGGCTCGTACCCGTGCGATCGCCCTTCTTCGGACTATCAATGGTGCCAGCCCTGTCCCGGGCCTTCACCAGCGCACGCGCCCTACTTCGGCTTCACGCAGGCCCCTTGCCCTTCTCGGGGCTCCCTGGTATACTCGCCCTTCTACAGGCGTCACCCACACTTCCCGCACTCGTGTCGCCCTGCTGTGGGCTCCGTCCCGTGCCCCTGGCGCTATCGCCCTGCTGTGGGCTCTGTCCCGCACTACTCGCGCCCGTGGCTCTCACTGAGCCTGTCCCGCGCTACTCGCGCCCGTGGCTCTCACTGAGCCTGCCCCGCGCTACTCGCGCCTGTGGCTCTCACTGAGCCTGCACGCCAGCCCTGTATCGGGCCTTCACCGGCGCCGGGGCTCAGGTGGCATATAGCCATGCCTGGCCCCCTGACCCCTCACCAGTGTCCTATGCCCTCACTGGGCCGAGTACCACCCTCACGTGCTGGGGTCTCACCTCCACACACTGCACCACACCGGTGCCCAGCCGCCATGCCTCCCAGGCACTGCTCTGTGCCCCAAACAGGGCACCCAGGAACCTCCCAGACTACTGGGGAGCTCCCGTGAGGCCTCCTCACACCCCTACAGCCTCACCCGGTCCTCCGGTGATATACACAACGGAACCATAAGCCATCCGGCTGTAACAAAACAATAAGCCTACCGGCTATAACATAAGTCCAGGCCCACCTGGCTCTCTGGCCAAAGCCTCCCAGTCAGGCTTCTCTCCACCCTTTCCATAATGCAGCCCTCTGGGTGCTCAGGCTGCACTGCTCAGCTTAGCTCTCCTGCAGAACTCCTACACCTCAGGCTGCCAGAAGGGAACTGCTAGCCAGGCTCCAGCCTGGCTGTTTATAACGGCCTGGCCCTGCCCCCTTCTGGTCACCTGACCAACCTGGTTGCTCCAGCAACCAGCACCTGAGCTGCCCTGGCAAATTAGCAGAGGCCCTAATCCCTACTTAGGCACGGGTCACCCGAGTGGCCCTGTGACAATGCCAGTTAGCTAACCAATTTTCCATACAAGACAAATAGAGTAGATCTAATATGTCTGGATTTCCATATAGTTTTTTGATACAAGGCTAAATGGGAAATGATTAATTAAGCTAGAGAAGATGGGAATTAATACAAGACTTTAGCAACAGTCTATATATCAGGAAAAACTCCTAGATACCATGAAAAACTTCTTCACGGTAAGGGTGGACAAAATTTGGAATGGGCTTCCACGGTAGGTGGTGCTCTCCTCTACCTTGAGGGTCTTTAAGATGCTAAAGAGGCATCTGGCTGGGGTCATCTGACCCCAGCATTCTTTCCTGCCTAGGCAGGGGGTCAGAGTCGATGATCTGTTGCGGTCCCTTCCAACCTTAGCATCTATGAATCTATGAAACAGGTAATAAAACTTAACAAAGTAGACAACAATTGGTTATGCCTATTTAAATTAGAAAAGGGCTTCTAAGATGATCAAGGGAATGGAGAACCTCTCTCATGAGAGAAGAATAATAATTAAAAAAAAGGTTTCCTTGTTTAGCTTAGTATAATGAATACTGAGAGAATATAATTGTTTCCTATAAATGTATCCGAAGGGAGTAGGTTAAGACACCAAGGAGGGAAAGAACTGTTTAGGCTAACGGACAAGGTTGGCACAATAACAAATGACAATAAACCGGTCATGAATAAGTTTAGGCTGGAAGAGAATTTCTAACCAAAGAAATAAGATTGTAGGACAACTTCCCAATAGGACCAGGGGAAAACTAACTATTTTTTAAGATGAAGTTTAATCATTTTATGAAAGTTTTTCTGACATGGTTTCCTATGCTAACAGAGGTCTGAATTGTGTAACCCAGAAGGTTCTTTTCAGTCCTATGTTCCTGCACAGCAAGTGCCAGAGCAATTTAAGTTAAGAGTGATTAATTTTTAGGCAGGCTAGATTTTGGTTAGGATTTTGCAAGCAGTGACATGGAAACGTTAATGATCACAAGTGGTCAGTTACATATCTCATCCCAAAGACAAAGCTTATGATTCTTAAACAATGTGTAAACATGGACAGTATGGTGTTCAGATTTTACAGAAATCATTCATCATATATAGTCAACATAAGCTGCTTCCCTCTTACATTTATTCTGTCAAGGTTCTCAAATAATTAACAAGCAGTAGCAAGAATTTTTTTATACTATAGTACATCTGTCCAAACACAAACAAAAAGGTTAACAAATTCTACTGGAAATATAAATACTTTCTTCGGCAAATTAAATTACTGTTCCTTTGGACTAGTTCTAACAGCATACATTGTCATTATGCTAAATAAAAGAAAGCATGCTGTTTCCTAGTTTATTTACAAGCATGTAACTTACTTTCGATTCACAACCAGCCACTCCCGAATATATGTCTGAATGCAATCTCTGACATGAGGATCCAGTTCAACTCTGGGAAAGATAATGAAAGAAATAATTTGCTGTTAATACTCTATAAACACCATGGGACATCTCTAGAAGGTTTATCTAAACATACTGTAGATCAGAACATGCTCAATGTGCCAGGATTGGACCCTATGTGCTGGTATTGAGCCCTGGGGCCCACACTCCCATACCTTAGCCTGCACACTGGGATTGAGGGATTGGGGCCCCACACCACCATTGAGCACTAGGATTGGTCCCTGTGCACTGGGATTGGGCTTCAGGTCCCCATATTTTCCCTATGTGTCAGGATAAGGTCCCAGGGCTCTGTACCACCCCCATCCAGCCCCACATGCCAGAATCAGACCCAACTCACCAGCAATGGGCCTGGGGCCCCACACTACCCCCCATGTGCATGCCCTCCAGCCTACAGTGTTCCCCACAGGTCCAGAAAATTGGAAGCAGGGCATAAGTGCATCCCCTGCCACCAAATTTTTGGACCCATAGGAAGCACCATGGGCCGGATCACCTGGTGTTGGGGGTTCAATTTGGCCGATGCACTAGGGGGTTGAACACCCCTGCTTTACAGCAGAAGACACTTAGGTTAAAACTTCTCTACTGTTTTGTTAATGACTTCTAAACTATTCCCTGAGGTTTACAGAAGTACTGCACAGGTTACATAGTCAGGATTCTGTTGCTGTTTTTTTCAGACTACTGAATGAACTATTTACCACTCCAACTCCTTCATGAACATGGGATTAATGTTGCCATAAAACACCTCAAGACAAAAGGACTGTGCAGGTATCCATCAGTTTTACAGCTATTTGATTTTTTTTCTAAGACCCAGCTTCTAAATTCATGAGTCTATAAAACCAAATGGGCAATCATGGTTGGGTTTTTTTTAATGTAAGTTTCTAGTTCTTACACTGGTAGAGAAAAACGGAAAGACAAGACCAAGTCCTCCCTAAAAACTCAGAAATAAGATCTCAAGATCTTTAAATCCATCTCAGGATTTGGGGCTCTAATTTCCTATTTTTTAACGTGTGGGGTTGGCAGTACTGAATATACCACCTTAAATTCTGTGACTCTAATCCTTTTGGTGTACTTTTAATTCCTCTGATCTGGAAAACTAACAGATATTTATTTTTATGAGATGACTTAGATCATTCTTGTAGCTGTTGTTAAAAATGTTTCATCAGAAGTGTTCACAAAACACACTGAAGAAGGCTTAATCCTTCCTTCCTGACTCAAGCCTGATCCCTTTTATTAAGTCCCTATGGGATGTCAACAGGTCTAGGGACAGACATTCAAAAACCCTGAGCCTGAATTGATTCAATCTTTGCAGGATAGTTTAACCTGCCTAAGTTGAATTGGTTTCCATCAGCACAGACATTCCCTCTGGACTGAGGAAATGTGGGCACATGCAGTGGCTCAGGCTTGAAGCCATGGGGCACTAAGACAGCCCTCCCTTCCCTTCCACACTGCTGAGCTGAGGGTATGGTGAACATAGCTAGGCTCTGGCAGGACATTCTGATTAGGGAGGGGTGTAAACCCCCACCCTGCCTGCACTATCCCAGGCTTTTCCCTGCTCATTACTCAAGGGACGGGAGTTTTGCCAGACCCCAACCCCCAGCTAGCACTCTGAGGCAAAGGTGGAAGGGGTGAAGTGCATGCATCTTTTGATGATATTGAGCTTTTCAATCTCTCTCTCCCTGCTTCTTCATGCCATCTGCAAACCTAATCAGCAAAGGAGCCAGCAGGCTCCTTTGTTAACAAAACAAAAGCCTCTCTCATTAGTTGAAGCTCTTCCTAAACAGCTTTTTCCAAGGAAGGAACAGAGGGACATTACCAGCTGACCTGTTGATTAGCTCCAAGAAGCCCTAAGAAGACACTGTTCTGTCTGCTTGTGCCAGTGAAATTGGAGACACACAGACACCTCTCAGCATTAGCCAGCATACCACATTCCTTTGCAGGGGAATCCCTGCTTGAGCAGTGAGGAGCAGGAGGGGCCGGGAGGGGACCAGGAGGAAGCAAGGCAGACCCTGCTATGCCTGCAGTTTCTGCTGGAGCTCCAGCTAGGGAGCAGAGGGGCAGGGCCAGGCCTGCTCTCTGGAGAAGACAGCCCCACCCAGGGCTGCAAGACATCTGGGATGCTGGGGGACTCTGGTTTAACTTAAACCAGGAAGGTGTCTCGGACAGATATTGCATAAACCAGTTTGACCCAAATCAGTTAAGTCTGATACTACATTCAACCATGTTTATCTTTGTGACGGAGGCACGCTAGGGGCCAGGTCCCATGCCAGCCTGCCCACCTGTCCCTATGCGGCAATCTGCCCTGTCTCACCTGCCACGACTTTGCTGTTCCCATACAAGGATGGTAAATGCGGAAGACTGCCCATTACATGCTGCAATGCCAGGGGCACTATCTGCTTCTCCAACCTCCCCTATGCTGCAGCCCATGCCTTGCAGATGGCATCCACATGATGTTTTTAACCCACACCACAACTGGTGCTCCCAGGTCTCACAGGGAGTCTCATTTCCTTCCTGGAGTAGCAGGTCATTATGCTCAACTACTGGTCTTATTTTCATTCCACACACAGCCTCCTTGCAGCAGAGGACTTACCGGGGTCAGGACTTGCCCCTAACTCTCTGGCTGATCCCCCTACTCAGCCTCTGGACCAAACTACGGCCTCAGGCATCCACAACCATGCCTTGGTGTCTTTCCCACAAATGGGGTTCCTACTACGCCCCCTTTAGGGCCTCTATATCACACCCCACCCTAAGGCCTTATCTTCATGATCAACTGCACTCAGGTCTGACCTTTGCGCTGCCCTTCAGGCTTACTCCTCGTTTGGCTCTACACCCCCGGGACTGCCCTTCAGGTCTACTCCTCGTTGAGCCCCCTCATGCACAGCCTTTCAGGCTTACTCCTGTTCAGCCCTAGTCTGTGCAGGGCCACACGCTACGCTCCTCACACTACCCCCTCTGGGGTCTCCAGGATCTTGCATCCCTGCTGGGCTCAGGTGGCACTCTGCTTGCCATGCCTGGCCCCACTACTTCCACACTGCCTCCAAAGCCCACCCAAAGATAGGGGACTGGGGTTAAGGTGCCCCTCCTCACCTTTCATTGGGGAGATAAGTGGTCTGGAATTTGCTGGGGATTCCTGTACCACCAGGAAGCCCACCAGGTCACCCATCCCCAGCAGGGTGCAGTTTTAGGTCGTGCCTAGGACCAAGAGCCTCCAGCTCTTACCTGCTAGATGTTCCATGCAGCTTAGCCAGGTGATGTTTCTGCCTGGGCCAGCAGCAGCAAACTGCCATGTTTATATAGGCAGCCAGTGTTCTAAAATGGCTGCCAAAATTAAGCACCTGCTGGCTGCCTAACTCTGTCCTTAAAGTGGCAGGCACTGCAAGTGCACTGCCACAATCTTAAACCAATATCAGCCATTTTGAAGCCAGTTTATGTGTACTGAACTTATGCTATATTACAGGTTTAAACCGGTTTCTTATCACTTAAACTGGTGTATGCCTAACGTCTGTTCCAAGGATAAATCTACACAAGAACACACAATCAGGCTTAGAAAGCACTAATTTTTGGTAGTAACTGCCTAACAAAAACAAAAAGCAAAGAAACCCAACCTCTTAACCAAATCTATAATCAGTTACAGACAAAGTTGGTGCTAAAATTGGTTTGGGTTTACATGATCAATTCCTGTTTGGTAACTATAGCAGCTGTGTGTTCCCCTTGCCAGAAGCCTAACAAACTTCATGCTCAATTTCCTGTATTTGGTTCAGCACAAGGGTTTTTTTTTGTATGGTTACACAGTATATAGGTATCCCTCTCATTAGCTTGGCTAATGACTTATGCTCCTTGATCCCTGGGCAGTAGGACACCAGAGTGAACACCCCTTCTGCTCTTCTGGGATGTAGGTCCACCAGACTCAGGCACCATGGCACAGCAGCTCAGACTTTTCTTATAAAGCACTAATACTAACATGGGAGATGTAAAATGCCCAAATACTGCTGCCTTATGCAAAGAGTTGCTGGAAACAGTTAAAACAAATGTTTCTTATGCATGCAAATTAAAGACAGCACATATCACAAGCTCAGTGTACCATGGGCAACTGGTGCCGCCTTAGTCAGGGGAGGCACATGCCCCCACTACAACCAGGCCTGCTAACCACGGGGGTCCCCCCGCAGCCAATCTTGCTGCCTGGGGAGACCCCCGTGGCCAATCCTGCAATGGCCAATCGCTGCAGCCGCTTCCGGAAGTGGCTGTGGCTCCTTCTGGGAGTGGCTGCAGCGCTTGCAGGGTGGGGCACTGGCGCTCCTGCCTCCCCCCCCCCCAACGCCTAAGCAGCGAGTGCGGCCGGTCAGGGGGTGCACCGGCGCTCTCAGGGGGTGCACATGCACCCCCATGCACCCCCTATGCGTCACCACTGCAGTGTAGAATACAAGGCAATCATTCAAAATCTATGGTTAAGGCTGAAAACCCATCCTTAATGTGCTTACATAGGTCCATTTTTATAGGTCCTACTGCAGCAGATTAACATATATCAGTACATGTTCTGTTCCTAAGGACATCTATGCCCCTCCATTTATTTTCCCATTTGCTTCAGTGGAGTTGCACAAGTTAGAAGGCACATATTAGACCATATCTCAGGGTGTTCTCACCTCTTTTAAGGGCTTGGGGTGATAGAGATCCACCCTGAGAATCAAGGAGCTATAACTACAGTTCTGAAATTGCTGCAGCACTGAAGCTCAGCACAGCCAAGAATATGGCCCATAAATGTCATTTATTGAACAGACTGGATTGAGGGAAGGACAGAATATCTGCCATAACTCAAAGCCCATGCTTTTCACTCAGGCACAAAAAAATACTGCATGAATTGTGCATGGTTTAGTTCTCTTTCAAAGACTGAAGAAATCTTTGCCAGAATGTTGCTGACTTCAAATATATCTAAATGACTGCTTCATACCAGATGATAGCTATATAGACCCTTCTGTATATCACAAATGTCCTAACATTCAAAACAACCCAGTATTCTACTGTTTTTCAAAGAAACAACGCAATTTCAATTCACAATGAGATAGCACAAATTGCTAAGACTTGTTAGAAAGTTCTCAATGGCATCTTTTTTTTCCCTCTCCAACAAACTCTATTTTTCAAAGATATCCAGGAAATGCATATAAATCTAAATAAATGTATTAAAACTCCATGAACACCAGTAACTGTACTTATTAAGGGTCCCATTCAAGTCCTATTCAAATCAAAGGGAATATGCCTAACAATTTTATTATCAGATCAGGCACCTATTACTTTACAGATTTAAAGCAATTTCCAAAGATTAGTCTTTATAAAACCCCTGGGAGATGGTTAAGCAGTGTCATCACCTTCGTTTTACAGATAAGGAAATTGTTAAATCAGGGTTTATTAGACTTGCCCAAGGCAGTAAAGGCAGTGGCAGAGTAAGAAATTTAAAAACCCAATTTTGATTGTTTAAACACCAATATCCTCTGCTAAAATTCAGATCTAGGTTACTTCCCTGTTTAAATGCTTTTGCCACTAAAATGTGAGATACATTGTGTGCTCTCTTCTATAAACAAACCAGTCCTTACATACATGTTACCTCCATTAAGCTCAAAGAAAGTAATGCATGCATTAGAGCTCCAGAACAGGCCCTAAGTCCTCTCACAATTTAGAATAGAGCAGTGCCTCTCTAAACAGCTTAAAAACATTGCTAAAGTAAACTACCATTTATTTTTATTGCTGTCAACACACGGTGCTTGGTGAAAGCACCCATGGGTGCTGGTGGCAGCAGCAGAGATATAACAGAGTTGCAGATTACATACTCAGCAGTACTTAGCAAATGTTGGGCCCTGATCTCAAGTCTACTGAAGACAATGGAAAAATTCCCACTGGTTTCAGTGGGCTATGGAATAGACCTATAAGCTGACTGCCATGTCTTGGGGCATAGGCGGTGGAAGGCTGGGGCTAACAGGGCTTATCCCCCCAAAATGTGGCTCCACTGTTTCAGCGCCACTACAACACCACACCCACAGCACCTCACTCAGCGCCCCTGCTGAGAACCAGCCCTGCAAGAGCCCTGCGGGAGGGAAGGGCGGCCCTACACTGCCCCCAGCCCCCCAAAGAATATTTTCTCTTACCACCACTGCTTGGGGATGGGGAAGCAATGGAGAATAGGCACATAGAGAAGACCAAAGGAAGAGGGGGAACACAGAGGAACAAATCTGGACTGAAAGCAACTCTCATATTTAAACAGATTCCTCTAGGATAGGTGTAAGGCAATAGGTTTAAAACAGCACTGTGCAGAGATACAACATACGCTTTCTGTACCCTGTCTCCAGAAGCAGTATACTTGGGTTACCACAGTGCTGCACGCATTCAAGAGCTTATTATAATCCAGCTCATTAGTACTCGAGTGGCTACACTGCTCTCAGTTCCAGAGCAAGCCCACCGTATCTCTCAAAGGCATGTTCTGCACTGTGCAGATATTCCACCCATCACCCTGGCAGATAAGCAAAGAGTGTTAATGTCTGTACGGAAGTGCACTTTCAACTGTACGTTCCAATTAAAGCCAACACTGAAAAACTTATTCACATAAAAGTGTGCATAAGAAAAAAAAGTTCCTTTTTTTTTTTTAACAGTTTGTGAATTAGGATGCAGAGCTGGAGTCCCATTGTATGCATTTATCAGGGAAATGTGTAGAAGCTCAGAAGCAGAGACTTCTGCTCTCTGGGGCATAACCTTCATCCTAGGTTTTATAATCAAGACTTTTTCATACAGTTCACATTCAGCAAGGCTATATACCTAATGAAATGATTCACATGCTCAAAAGTTAGTCATGTGCAACAGTGCCTTAACTGAATCAAGGGTATAATGAGGTTTATGAAATTACGCATACATCCCTTTGAAATATGGTTTAAATCACAAAAATATATATTTGATAAACTCTCCTCACCCTTCCTCTGGCAAGGATGGCTGCAAAGTCCTGCATTCTTTTGGAGTAAAGACAGTTTCCAAATCATCTTCAGGAAAGTCACCAAGTTCGTGCACAAGATCAGAGTCTAAGTGGTTCAGCTGTGTCATCAGGAAACCTTCAAAATCCACTGGATCCACGGCGTCATAAAACTGAGGCTGGGAGCAGATAAAGAATTAGACAGATGGTTTATATCAATGTGGTGGGGGCTTTTGGAAAGAAAGGAATAAAAATCTTAAGGCCATTTAATCAGTTCTTGTTGCCTCATCTGTTACACAAACTAGAAAGCACATTTTATATCACTTTATGCACTGCAGTGAAACAAAAACAAAACAAACCAGAAGAGAGCCAGTGAAACTTCTAGTTAATGAAAGAGGAAAGGAATAAAGAATTTTTAAAAATTAAGGGGGGAAAAAAGCAGAACATGCCAAATTTAGGTCCCATTTTCACTTGTCTCTGCACAGAACTTTCACTGACATCTACAGAATCAAGGCTGGTCCAAGCAATTCAGGGTCCCCTAGAGACTAATTTAGCTGGACTCTATTTCATGGAGTCATTCAGTCTAACCCAACCTATAGCTGGGACAGATAACAGAGGGAGGCAGGAGCAGATGAGGCGATCCAGAAGCAAGGAGGTAGACAGCATGCAGGCAACTGTGAGAGGGCACTGAAACATCTTCAGCATAAGGCAGAAGAAATCCAGACCATGCAAATTGAGCCCATCAGGTAACACAGAAGCAGATACTGCAAAAACAAACACAAGTAACAAAGTAAGAATCATCCAAATGCCTGAGGTTTGGGGCACCTTGGTTGAAATAATTTGGATGTGACTGTCATACGTGCTAAGTAGTCACAAGTCTAAATAAAGATCTGGTACTCCCAGGTACAGACATTACACTTTTACTAGTCTAGATGATCAGAAACCAACACATACCTGTACCAGAACAGGAGGTTGGCACACAAAGGGTGCTTGTACACATGACGCAATTATCGTGTACACGTGACAAAAATGTCACTTTATGTGGCTTAATGGCATCACACTGTACCCGTGCAAGAGCTTTGGGGTTTTAAATGAGTTTTCATTGTTAAAAGCTAAACTACATCTTGATGTAGTTTAGTCTGAAATGTTGCAAATTACAACGCTGCAGTTGTCACCTCACCCCCCAGCTATGGGAGAGGGAGCAGACTCCGCAGGAAAAAAAGGATTGGGTAGGCCACTCACCACTTCTGCCTTCATCAGGCTCCTGCAGCCAGCAGGACACCTGGGGTCACCTAGGAATGGGATGGCTTGCCCCTGGGGCAGTACAGGAAGGTGGTAGGAGGGTGGCTGGGTTTACTGGTGGTGGGAGAAGGTGGCAGGGATGGCACACAGGGCACTGGAAGCCAAGATATGCTGCTAGGTAGCTGGGTGATGCCCCTGTTCAGAGGCACCTGATCCAATGCTTCCCCAAGCCTGCCCAGGCCTCCAGAGTCCTGTCCCCACCACCTTCTCCAGCTGCCAGCAAACCCAGCTGCCCTTCCTGCACTTCCCCTGGGGCAAGCCAGTCCATTCCTAGGCAGCCCCAGCTGTTCTGCTAGCCACAACAGTCTGCTAAAGGCAGAAGTAGCAAGGGGCCTAATCTTTTTTTTTTTTTTTTTTTGGTTGGAGCCAGAACCTGCTTGCAGCCAGGGGATGAGCTGCCAGTAGGCCGAGGGGCCCCTAACCTGTGGGGGGACCCCGATCCTTCCCTCTGCAGTAGCAGCAGCCCCTGGGGCTGGCTGGGCAGGCTGCTAGCAGGTCAGATGCTGCCCCAGCTCAGAGGCAGCACCTGGCCTGATCCAACTCTTCCCTGAGCCTGCCTGCTGGGCACTGCTCCCCAGGTGGGCGGGATCAGGAAAGAGTTGGATTTCAATTTAGGTGGCATAGAATAAAAACCTGAGGACTAAACCCCTGTCACATGTACAAGCACCCATAGACTGGTTTAAAAATGGCAGAACCTAGACTAAGATTTGCTCCACCCCACGAAGGACGAATGTGTGTTCTGTTCACTACCAATTTAAACTATGCCACTTACAGAAAACTGCACAACTTCGATCGATTCTGCCTTGGTTTTTTGTTAATGTCTGTACCTAGCCCCAAATAAGACTGTCATCTAAAACCTAGAGAAAATAGCCCTGTCTCATACAGCAGAGTTTTATTTTCCAAATGTTACTATAGTAAATTGCTATAATATAGCTAATTACTACAGCAAACCTATACACATCATTTCTACAGTATATTATGCTTCAGCTTAAGCAAGCCAAAGGATATTTAAGGAAGGCATAATTATACAGTACATCAAGTTCAGAACAAAGTTCAACAGATGTGAATTTTTCCAATGGCATGCAGTATAATGTTGTTTGGTTCTTTTTACTTGCATAGTTTGAACAACAGTGACAGAATTTCCTCCTGCAGAATGGAAAAAGATCTTCACTACGAGACTGAATGCACTTATAAACAAAACATTTCTATGATCTCCTTATATATTAAGTGTATAAGTTAATACATATATAAAGGGTACATAGCAAGCAAAAAGGAATTGCATTAATTAGTAAAAATAGCCTTTCAAATATACAGTCTAAGTACAGACAGTTAAAAAGTCCAAAGCTGAATCTATTAAATCTTCACAGATTAATCTAAACTGTGCAGATTGAACCAATAAGCAAGTGAACAGGCACTCACTTTTGATTCCAGAAATGCAGCCACACGCTTGCAGTGACTCAGGCCAGAACAGGGGAGGGCAATTATTTTGGGCAGAGGGTCGCTTACTGAGTTTCGGCAAGGCATCAAGGGCCACATGACAGGCAGCCCAGGGCAGATTAATACTAATTTTCTAAATTGTTTAGGGGCCCTGTGGGCCAGATAGAATGGCCTGGTGGGTCGCATGCATCCCCCGTGCTGCATTTTGCCCACCCCAGGGCCAGAAGCTGGGGAATACTAGAGCATGCCTCCCTGCTTGGCTGGAGCAGGCAGCTTGGGCCAACACTAGCCTGCTAACCCTGAGAGGGGGGATTTGTGGAGAAGGTGCATAGCATCCTGGCATGCTGGGGCACTGTGAGTTAACTTGAACCTGAAGGGGACTGGGGACAGAAGTTCAATAAACCAATTTAACCTAAATCAGTTAAGTCAAGTGGAGGTGGAGGGGGTAGCATTAGAGTGGCTCCAAGAGCTGCTCTAAATAAAGCTCTGCTGCATCTCATGAATCACTGTCCCTGCACTTAAAAATGGTGGCAGGGGTGCTTGAACTAAAGTATGTTTCACAAGCTTTAGTTCAAGCGCCCCCGCTGCCATTTTTAAGCACAGGGACACTGATATACAAGACACAGGAGGCTGCTGGAGCACAGTAATTGCCACACTCCAGCAGAATCGATTAATTGAGTCTCTCTGACGTGCCAGAATTCCGGCATGTTGGAGCAGCCTCCACGCTCATGTATATGTGTGCTCTGATACTACCATCCAGGTTTATTTTAGACTGGTTTTTGCCACTTTGAAAGAGGGGTACATGCACTGAACTTCTGTTGTGTTACAGGATTTGAACCAGTTTCCGATTACTTATACCAATCTATATGTAATTTCTGTCTCTAGCCAGAATGAAATTGCTCTCCAGTCTGTTACAAAAACTGTTATACTACACTGGAAGATTTCTTCACAAATAATGAAATTACATAAAAGCCACAGCTTTAGATGATCTATCCTTTTCTGTTATCTGTAGATAAATCCATGAAAACCTGTGTACAGTGTGATTCATGGAAGGTGTTAGGGTGACAATATTTGGACTTTTGGGGAGCGCTGGATCTGCAGCTGGAACAAGGCTTTAATCTGTGTCCCAGCAAAAGCTGCTGACCACAAGGCAGAATGATATATTAAAATAACTTTGCAGATGCTTAGGCAAGTAGTTCTTTTAACAATGGGATAGTGTGCAGGATACATGATTCCTTGTGTAAGGAAAACAAGATGCAGCCCACCAGCTATCGTCAGGAGATAAAGCAGAAGCAAGACCTTGGAGATGAAGGAGGAGTCAGCAAGAAGCCAGAAAGAACCAGCAAGTGACCGAAAGAAGCGGAGGTCAAAGTCTTACACATGCACTCTTAGTAGAGGCATGTAAATGAATTAAATGCATAGGCAACCCCATGCTAATGAAGTAAACAGTGGTGGAGCTTGAGATAGGAAGAGGTATGGGTGGAACCCAAGGAGGGACATAGGTGGAGTGAATGTTAATGAGTATTTACCAAGGTTTATAAAATGTGAAAAGAACTAATGTTCACTGCAGCTCCCCTGGTTTCACAGGCTGTGTGTCTGTGAGGGAGCTCGCACGAAGCTGTCTCCATTCTGAATAAAGCTGCTGTGAGCAACGTGTACTGGTGTTTGCTCCCTGCTTGTTCTGGCTAATGAGTAACAGGATCCATGGGCAATTGGATCGTCATCTCCCTAGTCACTGGGTGCCGCATGTAGTCAGGGCCTAACACAAGGTAATCATAATATTAGGATACAGTAAAAGCTTTGTTATCTGGCACCCATGGGGAATGGAGGGTGCCGGATAACAAAATATGCTGGATAACTGAGTGGCCAAAGGTGTCTTTGCCTGTTCAGGCCGCTGCCTGTCCCGCCGTGTTTGGGGTGTCGCCACCCCTCCCGCCACATCACCACCCCTCCCATGGGCCATGAGGGACAGGAAGCAGGGAGCCCCCACGGCCTGGGGGAAAGCAGCCTGCATTGCTAAGCCCCAACAGCCCAGGGCATAGCAGCCTGCGTGGGACATGATGAGCACTTCCAGTTTCACTTTTCCCTTACAAGAGCTTACAAGCCAGCATGCTGATTAACACAGCATGCCAGCTTGTAAGGTGCTGGTTAACATAACTTTGCTGTAATTAGTGAATCAGTGGGAATGGTGCCACTGAAGTAGCTATCAAATCAACCTGTTAAATGCTCCTTGACTGTAAAGAAAGACTGTAAAGACTCTCTCGCACCAGTAGCCCAAATACTTTAGAAGAATGCTTCTGAAAGTACCTAACAATAAATGACCCCTTGTGGCAAAGTGGGGCTCCCTGCCTAGCCACAATGCTAGGTTACCCACTTGCCTTTGGGCATGGTACCCACCAGACTCATCTGCCACGCCTTGTTCTTAATTAATTACAATGTT